ACAATGGTCCCCAACAATGGAAGAATAAGCAAGAGAGGAAAAAGGAAAAACTGAGCCGTTGGTACACTTTTTTCCCTCCATTTCTTATTATTTAGGATTTTATAGAAGATGGACTAAAGTTTAAATAAAAAACTTAGGGATGAAAAATGCAACTCCTTAATTCTTAATTTAAAAATTGTCACCCCTACTCAATAATTAAAACTTGAGTCACCAATCCCTAATTTTGAAACTTGTCTATAACCCTTAATTCATTGTCCCCAGTTTCTTCAAACATATTTTATCCGGCTCCGAAAATGCTAAGAATATGAAGCTAGATTTGAACTTAGTTTATGTTGATCGGTGTGTTGTTTGAATATTGATTCGAGGGAAAGCGTGGTATATTTGTGTGAATTAGTCTGCTCAAATGTAGAGTTTGACTTGAGCTGTTCTTCAATGATACTTTATAAGCTAGTTGGTTATTTCTATATTTGATATTTTATCAAGACTTGTTTGTTTGACATCTATTAAATCGGTCCAAAATTTTGCTTCTTTTTGTGCTATGACAGTGTCTTTCCCGAGTTTATTTTCTAAAAATTATTTGAGAGGCACGTGTAAGTTTGCATTGGGTGGAATGGAAAATAAAAGTATCATGAGTTTTACTTTTTTCTTCAAATCAGTTGAAGTGTTAAGCATTTAGGATGGTCATTCTTGATTATTTGTTTCAAATTAACTCTTTTATTTATTATTTGATTTTTCTTGAGGTTAACAGTGATCAGATGTCCTGGTACATATTTTTATCTTTTTGATTGCCTTTAGTTAGCATCAATAATCCGAGTGTATTACATCTTTTATCCTTGTTCATTTTCGGAATTCTTAAGACCCATTAGATCAGCCTTTGTTAAATGCTTATTAATTCGTTTTCTTCTGTCCCTTTTCTTGCATGTGAAATCTGTCCGGGTCCTCGCGGACTCTATCCTCGCATTTTCCTTTGGGCCACGAAGGCCCCCCAAAATTTCCTTTATCAAATCAGCCATAAAAGTCGACGAACAGGTCCCGAATCCGAAAGAAGCAGCAGATTGAAAATTTTGAAAGATTGGGCCAAAGGCCCACTCTTTACACAAAAAATTGTATTTTGTTGGGCCTAAGCCCATTTAGTCGCTATTCTATATTTTGTTAGAAGCCTAGGACAGGTGAAAAATTGGGCCTAAGGCCCAAAGAAAAATATTTATTTTACGTTAGTATAGGACAGGTGCAACTCAAATGGGCCGAAGGCCCAAAACAAAAATGGGCCCAAATACTGGTCCAGGCGGACAAAAACCAGATTTGGGTCCAACTCTCTTTCCCTCATTACTTTACTATGTTTGTTTTGCTTGTTCGTATTTATCGTTAATCTCAGGGTTGAAGAGTTCAAATCCCCAAAAGACGCTCACTTCGTTTTTAACAATTTTACTAAATCGATCATCTTTCGAAAGACTTAAAAGAAGAAATTTTGAGAAGTATCTCACTTAGATCGTAGGTTAATATTTCCCTTTTTCCCTTTTATAACCGTCTCAACTATAAAATAATTCAATCGTTCTACTCAAATTAGGTCAAACGAATTTAGCCAAATAATTAATTGTTGGATAACCGCGTATTAGCGGGCATTTCGGGTGCTTTCAAACCCTTCCCGAAATGCTAATAAGAACCCGAACCCCTTTTAAGTTTTCATTAGATTTTCTAGTTTTAAGTACTTAATGAAAACAACAGTTTTCTTGATTTTTTCTTAAAAATTAAGTGGCGACTCTAAAACCAGTCCAAATTATATTTTCCAAATAAAACAGTACTTAATGTGATTACAAACATGTTATGGGGTGGCACAGTGAAGGGTGAGGAAAGAGCTAGCCTTGGAGCTGAATTTAGGCATGTTGTGACTGAGATAGCTGCGCTGTGCAGTATTCCCAATCTTTCCGATTTTTACCCGGGCATGGCCTGGTTTGATTTCCAGGGTATTACAAAGAAGATGAAGGTGTTGGCAAAGAGATTTGATGAGATATTTGAGAGCATGATTGATCAAAGACAAAAATTGGACAGAAATGGTGTTGGCCAAGAAAGCAACGACTTTTTGCAAGTTTTGCTGAAGTTGAAAGATGAAGCAGATGCCACAATGCCTCTGACCATGACTGAAATCAAAGCCTTACTTATGGTATGTTCATCAGTTGCATTCTACGAAATTTGTTTTTTCCAAATGAACCAAAAAGAAATCTTCCTCTCCCCAATTCCAAATTTCAAATTAATAATAGTCATCACTGCATTATTATTGAGTAACCTAGAATCAAGATTGCATTTGTCTTCCACTATTCATACTGGATTACACTGATCATGATGGCAGATCTTTTCTTTTTTTATATTGAAAGGATCAAAATCAAATGACATTGATAGTGGGCTTGTAAATTTATAGAAGAATTATTGTGGCATATGGGAAATAAATTTCAGAAGAATCAGATTTGTAAATTCATGTCCTGAGCTGTTGGTTGCGCTCTTCTGCTTGGAAATTCACTTTCATTACATGTGGTCCTGGTTAAAAAGTTTTTACTTCAAATAGTCCATTTCTTTACATGTTAGGCTGTTATAGATGAAAAATTGGCTTATAATGCTATTACCATGTTATTGGACTGCATTAAAGAAAGAGTCAGCAAATTTAGCATCAGATTATATGTGAAGACTTAACTGTGAATTAAGACTGTGAACCTTGAAGTGAACTCCAATATACAGTTATACAATTAAGAAATTGTTGTACATGGTAATAACTTCACAAGTACTATGGACAGGATATGATTCTCGGTGGAACTGACACTACTGCCAACACAGTTGAGTTTGCCATGGCTGAAATTATGCACAAACCCAATGTCCTGAGAAAATTACAACAAGAAGTAGATACAGTTGTGGGAAAAGATAATATTATGGAAGAATCTCATATTCAGCAATTACAATATCTCTATGCAGTGATGAAAGAAGTCTTGCGCATACATTCAACTGCTCCATTCTTGGTGCCACACTGTCCTAGTGAAACATGCACTGTGGGAGGATACACTGTTCCTAAAGGATCTCGTGTTTTCATAAATGTATGGGCTATACACAGAGATCCTTCTATATGGGAAAATCCAACTGAGTTCCGTCCAGAGAGATTTTTGGACAATAAATGGGATTATAGTGGAAATGATTTCAACTATTTCCCATTTGGTTCTGGCAGAAGAATGTGTCCGGGGATAGTCATGGCAGAGAGGATGTTTATGTATTCAGTAGCTTCACTCATTCATTCTTTCGACTGGAAATTTCCCGAAGGAGAGACATTAGACCTTACAGAGAAGTTTGGTGTTATATTGAAGAAGAAAATGCCTCTGGTGGCTATACCTACTCCAAGATTATTCAATCCAACACTGTATGAGTAAGATAAAAATGTGTTTGTAGATGTTCTGTATGATGAAATTAAGAATATAAAACCTGCAATTCAGTGTGCCTGAATTACCACTAGTTCAGTAGGTCTATTCCAGAGTCTTGGAAACATACAGGCATAAGGCTCCTGTTTGTAAGATAAAAATAAGCCCCAATTTCATCCTGTAAATTCAAAATCTTATGAAGGTCCTGAGCTTTGTTAAATTCATAGTCAATGATAATTATTTACTTATACTAAGTGGTCATATAACGCGTAAAAATCAGCCATTTCTTAACAATATTTGGTTCAGAAGGATAGTTGATGAACAACTCTATAAGTGTTTTGGTACCAAAATCTGTTTGCTTCAACCAAGTCCATGAATCTTTGGGATCACTGACTAGCCAGAGTCATTATTGCTTCAAACAAGAAGTATATTTAACAAAAACTAATAATTTTACTATATATCACTTGCTTAGGTGAGGAGATTTAACAAAAAAAATGAAGCAATTTCATGTTTACCGCTGACGCCTTGTGGCCTTCCAAAGGTGGGATGATCCTAAAATACAATTTTTTTTCTTTAAACCTTAATCAGACTCATCAATTCTGCTTTGAAGCTGAAGCAGCAGTAGATTTGGGGAGGTATGTTCTTATTCATCTTGTGGTTCTGCAGATTTTCAATAGTCACTTTTTGTCTTATCCAACATATTTTTATTCTTCAGGATATTTTATTTTTGTATATGGTGTTAAAGCATTGAGTTTTTCTTGGCAAAAAGGGCCCTTATGTATGTTATGTCAATTGTAACATGTGCATTTCCTACTATATAGGACAAGTCACTTTCTTTTGATGTGATATTGGTTGGTCCCTTCTGTTGGAAAACGTGGAATAACACAAGGAGATTCATAGTCAAAATAATGGGGATAAAATGGGAAAATAATAACATCAAGAATTTTACGTGGAAATCTTTTGAATTAGGAAATAAATTACAGATCAAGAGGAGCAACTGATTTCACTAATTACACTGTGTAGGCCTAAGTAATATACTACAAAGACCACTACACACTCAAAAGAAATAACCCTCTTTTGAATTCCCACCTCACGAAAATATCGCTCACTCTATTTTTTCCTTCACGGATTTATTTTTTCACAGTCTATTAAATACCACATTGCTCTCTATATTATTTTCCTCTTTGTGTTGGTGTGTACAAACTGATGTTGAAGTCTCTATGTATAGGGTAAAGTATGTCCATTTTTCCACCTTGTATCAATGGGCTGACAGCCAATTTCAACAAAGGTGTGCCAAAAAATCTGCTGCAAATCTTGCCAAACATAGGGCTGGACCCCCACACCTTCAAAATTCTAATGTGTTCAAAGCAACCTTTCCTTTTCCTCAATTCAAACATAGGTCACTAATGCATTATTGTTGAGTAGAGGAGGTTGCCTTTGCCTTCAACCATTCCTTTCTTATCCTATGTTGCTGGACTTATCAAATATGTCTGTTGGTGTGTCTTGATCCTCCAAAAGTAATACTCGGCCTCCGTTTCAATTTATTTGTCTGATTTTGACTTGATATGAAGTTTAAGAACCTAAAGAACTGGTGTCCTTCCAGATATAAGTATTAGAAGTGCTGAAAGTGTCTTCATACTAAATATGGAACCTTTAAACGAACTTTGTCTAGCAGCTCTCACCCTTTCAATTGTGTTCCTTACAATTCTGTGGTACAAATTGACATCACACAAGGAAGAACCCAAGCTGCCACCAGGGCCTCGTGGTCTTCCGATTGTGGGATTCTTACCATTCCTCCGCACCAATTTGCATCACCAGCTCACGGAGTTGTCTCAACAATATGGTCCAATTTACAAGTTTTGGCTAGGAAGCAAACTATGTGTTGTGTTGAATTCACCATCCTTAGCCAAAGAAGTTGTTCGTGATCAAGATTCCGTTTTTGCTAACCGTGACCCTCCAATTGCAGGATTAGTAGGTACTTATGGTGGACTAGATATTGGATTTTCTCCCTATGGCTCCTACTGGCGTGATATGCGAAAAGTGTTCGTAAGGGAAATGCTAAGCAACAAGAACCTTGAGGCCTGTTATAGCCTTCGGAGACACGAGGTCAGAAAGACAATCAGAAATGTGCATACCAAGATTGGTAACCCCGTTGACATTGGTGAATTGGCCTTTGTGACTGAAATGAATGTAGTCATTAGTATTATCTTTGGCAGCAAATTTGTCGAGGAGACGGAGAAGCGTAGTAAGGATGGAACTGAATTCAGGGAATTGGTGATGAAATATGGTCAAGTGGTGGGAAAGCCTAACATATCAGACTTCTTCCCTATGCTTGCCAGGTTTGACTTACAAGGAATAAAGAAAGAGATGGAGGCTCTTTTGAAGTTGGTTGATAGTATATTGGACCCTGCCATAAGTGAATGCATGAAGATGCTTTCGGACCGAAGAGAGGGTGAAATCCAGAGGAATGAGAAGAAACATCTTATACAGATCCTGTTAGAGCTAATGGAGCAGAAAGACATTGGTATATCACTGGACTTAGTGAAAATTAAGGCCATCTTGGTGGTAAGTTAAATAGTCCCTTTATCTTTTCTATATTGCTTTGTCAGTCATACGAACTTTTTAAGACTATTTTAGCTAATTATGTGATTTGAGCAGCTAAGTTAAGAACTCAAATCCATTCTCGAATCACATATTAGTCATGTATTCAAGCGGTGGAAGCAGCCACTAATGTTTGCATTAGGGTAGGTTGCCTATATCACACCTCTTGTGGTGCGGCCCTTCTCCAGCCCTGCTAGCGCGGGATGCTTTATGCACCGATCTGTCCTGTTATTTTTAGTCTTGTAAAGATATACCAGACCCACAAGAAGTTACAAGTTCGGCAGAACTAGTAGCTTTGACCTGAACTATGTACTTATAGTAAGAAATTCACTTAATATGTATAAATAATTTATCCAGAACTCAATAAACAAAAATAGTTGTGTTTCAGAACTCATAGACTTAAAATTCTGGATCCACCTCTGCCTACAGGTAGAACCAAGCATTACAAAATTCCTGCTACAAGTAATTTCATTTCCCCTGTCTTCATATATGTTTCTGCATTGTAGGACATTGTGATCGGTGGGACTGACACTACAATCACAACGGTTGAGTGGGTAATGTCTGAGCTTCTGAATAATCCGGAGATAATGTCAAAGGTGCAGCAGGAATTGAAACATGTTGTAGGGATGAATAACATTGTTGAAGAATCCCATTTACCAAATCTGCATTATCTTGACGCTGTTTTAAAGGAGACGTTACGTCTACACCCTGCATTACCACTGCTTCTCCCAAAGCGTCCGAGCCAATCTGCAATAGTAGGTGGATACAAAATACCTGAGGGAACTAAAGTATTCTTGAATGTTTATGCAATTCATAGGGGTCCTCAAGTGTGGGAAAGTCCACTAGAATTCCAACCTGAAAGGTTTTTGAGTCCCTCGACTAATTTAGACTATGCTGGAAATAATATGAAGTACCTTCCATTTGGATCAGGGAGAAGAATTTGTGCTGGAATTCCTTTAGCAGAGAAAATGCTTATGTTTATATTGGGTTCATTGCTTCATTCCTTTGACTGGAAACTCCCTGAGGGAGAAATCGTTGATCTTTCGGAGGGATTTGGACTCGTCCTCAAGAAAAGTGAGAGGCTATTGGTCATCCCTACTCCCAGGTTACCGAATTTCAAGCTATATCAGTAAAACCATGAAACTATAAGGACCTTGACATGATATTTATAATATCAGAGTACGTATTTTAAATAAAACATGATGTTGGTTGGTCACTTTCTTTCACCTGTTCAAAGTTCAAACCAATATTGGTCACTACTGCATTATTGCTGAGGTCTGAGGAGACGAGATCGCATTGACCCGTTCATATCTTCTGGACTTTCAAAAATGTCAGCTTGGTGCATGCATGTATCAGATCCTGAGGATCAAATACGGGTATGACAACATTCATTAGTTTGTTGTAAACAATGAGTGCTGGTATAACCGGACTTGTCCTTATTTTTAGGACTACTAATGTTTGTTTAGTCAAGCTTCCAAAATCTATTTATTTTGAAAAGTATTTTTTGTTAGAAGTGCTCATTGAAAGAAGTTATTTTTTTGGAATATAGCAGTTTGTCAATATCATCGATTTGTGTTTGATCGAGATTTCAAAGTGCTTTAGGAGTAAAGCAATTTTTGTCAACTTATGCTACTACTCGAAAACACTTATTTGTATCCTAAAAGCTTGGTCAGACAACTCAACTCTCTAAATAAGCACTTATGGCTTCACCAAAACTTGATCAAACAGACTATCAATCCAATAGATACTAGAAACTTTAATTTTTGTTTCTCCAAAAGAAAAGAAAGAAAAAGATAAAAGGGTTGTTTTTGGAAATTTGTGAAACATCAAATTGAAACAACAGTTGTTTTACTGTTTTTGCGTTGAAGTTTGAAGCACCAGTAAGGTTAGGGAGGTATTTTCATATTCATATTGTGGTTCTTCAGACTTTCAAGAGTCACTTTTGTCTTATCCAACATATTTTTATTCTTCAAAATTTGTTTTATATATATATATATATATATATGGTACTAGATTAGGGAACGTGTGTTGCACGTTTATCCCAAAATACTTTATATTAATTTTGTATTGCAAATGACATATTTTATCCCCTTTAAATCTATGGTATTTACTAAAAAAAATTCATCAATTTTCAGATAGGAACTACATATATCTTTCTAAAAAAAGAATATATATTTGATTATTAAATTGACTAAAAGTGTATAAAGTAAAAATAACTAACTATTGCACAAATTCAATATTCAAAATGAGGATACTAAAAATACCACATGCTAGGCTTATGTATACAAAGCAACAAACCATGGTAAATTCTCAATAATAATAACTACACAACATTAGAAAATTTGTACAATAACAACAAACAAGAAACATAAATATTAACTAAACAAATAAAAGGAGACGAGAGAAGAGAGCATAGATATTTTCTCTTTTTTTTTTTGTAATTGGTTTAAGTGTGTACATTATTGTGTCAAATGTCACTATTTATATGATAGTATTGAGAAACACAAAGAGTTGTCATGAATATGAGATTAATCCATTTGAGATTATGGTGAGAGATAGGAGTAAAACCATAATAAATATAATCAGGGAGTTACATATATTTACATAATGAAGAATTAGTGGTAATAAAATTTATGTGTACTAATATGATGATTTGCTATTTAATATTTAATTAATTAAATAATTTATAACATTTAAATGTAATGTATGAGAAAAAATCTAAGGATAAAATTAAAAAAATTAAAAATATTAAATGTGTAATGGAAAATCATTATGACTAATTATTAAGAAATTCATAGCAACTATCATTATGAAAAATCATCACTATTAGTACGTGAAAGATGTAAAGATTGTAGATTTTTTTCTTGCTAAAAATAACTTACATAGGAATGTTAATTACCATAATACCAAGAGTCAAAATTCATGGATCCCAAAATAAATATTAAATAAAAAAACTATTTTAAATAATTTCAAGATAATAAATTAATAGTTAAGGGGTATTTTTGTAATTCAACTTTTGACTTAGATTCTTCCCTCTTTTAGTATAACTAATTTCTGGACACGTGTCTCATGCTAATTAATATAGACTTTCTAAAATGAAATATATAATACTCTATTATATACTGAGTATATACATGTATATACTGAGCAATTGAACAGTAATTCAGTTGAATAGTAGATTCAAATGCAACATATATTTGTAATGTAATATTATTCATCTGTCATGTAACAAAATGAGATACATGCTTGGGAGTTATTCTATTTCTTCACGAAGATAGCAACTTTAGGTATGCTACTAATAATGTTTTAAAAATAAATATCTATACTAAATTAGAAGTGAGAGGTCACAAAGCATCCAAAAATGACACTAAATGAAACCAATAAAGTTGGATTTAAAATCAGACTCATGAAATATAAACATACTTATGAATTTGGTTCAGTAGCTACTTCCAAAGTGATATTTTTTGGAGCAAACTAAAAATATAAAGTGTGTGAAATAAATAAAATAAAAAATATTATCTATACACATTATTTCGTAAACACAAGCCATATTTAAGTAGTAAACAGAAACTGAACTTGTTCAAAGGGGAAAATATAGTATTACCTTATGCTGGGCAAAACTCAACAAATAAGAGGGCAATAGTAATAGCTTTTTGTGTAGTCTAACAGAAGATGAGGAAGAATAAAATGATAAAGAAATTTGACAGGGTGGTAACTTTATAAAGTGCAAAGAATATGAAAAGGGTATAGAGTATTTAACTGATTGAAGTTTAAAAGACAAAAGATATAAATGCTGTAATATGAAAAGTTTGATACATTAGTTAAATGATCAGGACAAAGTGGTTATTTTGTAAATGATTAGGGATATTTTTGTAATTCAACTTTCAACTATGGAGTTTCCTACTTTTAGTATAAAATATGATATGATTAGAGTATTGAGTTTTCCTTGGCAAAAATGTCTCTTATTGGTATGTTATGTCATATATGTGATATTGGTTGTGGTCCCTTCTAACTTCTAAGGTGTTCAAATATGACCAAAGCAACCTTTCCTTTTCCCCAATTTTGGTCACTTCTGCATTATTGATGAGTTGATGAGATAGCATTTGACTTTAACCATTCCTGTCTTATCCAATGTTTTCTAGATTAATTCAAATATGTCCCTTGGTGCATATCAAATTCTCCAAAAGTAATGTATTTTTTGAGGATCCAACAACATTTTGGAGAGTCCAAAACAACATAGGTCTCATCTTTATGGTCGCAAAAATTGGCTTATTTACTGATCACACTGTCTAATCTTAATTAGTTATGATGTGAGATCTAAATCTAATGATAGAGAAATATGGGATGGTGAATTGCACCAAGGATGTGGCATAGTGATAAATGAAGTTAAAGGAGAACTATGAGGTCTCGGGTTCAAATTCCATCGAAGCAAAAAACATTACTGGTTGTCTGGTTGATATACAAGTTACACAAGGATTACAATGACTAATTCGCATTATCAACTAACTAAACAATGTATAAAATGATGTTGAATTTTATACAATTACAGCAAGTAATTTGTTTCCATCTGCCTAAACCTTGGTAGACAGAGTTACCTGCATTAGGAATCCCCTTTTATTGACCAGCAACTTCATCCTTACTTTGCTAGCTTGACACAGACCTTTTGGGCACTACCTTTAAGAATGAGTACTTAAAAAAGACAGGATATATTGAGCTAAAATTTAGAGCAAATTATTTCATTGTGAGGTAAAAAAAAAATTGGTATCCTTCCAGAGATTAGTATTAGAAGTGCTGAAACTGTCTTCACACTAAATTTGGCTTCTGAACCTTCAAATGATCTTTGGATTGCAGCCCTCACCCTTTCAATTGTCTTTCTTACAATTCTATGGTACAAGTTGAACAAGGAAGAATCCAGGTTGCCACCAGGGCCTCGTGGCCTTCCGATTGTGGGATTCTTACCATTCCTCCGCGCCAATTTGCATCACCAGCTCACAGAGTTGTCTCAACAGTATGGTCCAATATACAAGTTTTGGCTAGGAGGAAAACTATGTGTTGTGTTGAATTCACCATCCTTAGCCAAAGAAGTTGTTCGTGATCAAGACTCCGTTTTTGCCAACCGTGACCCTCCAATTGCAGGATTAGTTGCCACATATGGTGGACTAGATATTGGATTTTCTCCCTATGGCTCCTACTGGCGTGATATGCGCAAACTGTTTGTAAGGGAGATGTTAAGCAACAGGAACCTTGAGGCCTGTTATAGCCTTCGGAGACACGAGGTCAGAAAGACAATCAGAAATGTGCATACCAAGATTGGCAGCCTCACTGATATTGGTGAATTAGCCTTTGTAACTGAAATGAATGTAATCATGAGTATGATCTTCGGCAGCAATTTTGTAGAGAAGATGGAGAAGCATAAAAAAGATAGAACTGAATTCAGGGAATTGGTGATAAAATATCTTCAAATACTGGGAAAACCAAACATATCAGACTTCTTCCCTAAGCTTGCAAGGTTTGATTTACAAGGAATACAGAAAGACACGGAGGCTCTTTTGAAGTCGGTTGAAAGTATATTGGACCCTGCCATAAATGAACACTTGAAGATGCTTTCAGACAGAAGAGAAGGTGAAATCCAGGGGAATGAGAAGAAAAACTTTATACAGATCCTGTTAGAGCTAATGGAGCAGAAAGATATTGGTATATCACTGGACTTGGTGAAAATAAAGGCCATCTTGGTGGTAAGTTATATAGTTCCTTTATCTTTTCTATATCGTTGCTCCTCTTGTTAACCTTGTTTATCCTGTGAATTCCATCATATTACTGTTGAAAATACAATTAAACAATAAAAGTGTGTTCTATCTAATAACTTACGCTTTTAGGTGAGATGGACGATGGTCACATACTTCAACAATTACTTTATCAGTCTGAAAATTTAGCAGGGTCATACAAACTCCGCAAGACATATTTTGGCTAATTATGTGATTCAAGCATCTTAATCAAGAACTCTAATCATTTCTCTAACCACATAAGGTCATGGGTTCGAGCCATGGAAACAGTCAGGTTGTCTAATCACACCCAAGGGTGTGGCTCTTCTCCAGACTCTATTAGTGGGATGTTTTGTTCACCAGATTACCCTTTTTTTAAGTCCTAAAAAGATATACAT